GATAAAAGACATTTTCAGAACATGGTAAGTGAGAAACTCTTCCAAATACAGATCTGATCTTCAAACCCTGGCAATAACCTACAGAATTTACTGACTTTAAAGGGCTCCTGACAACTTTAATTTCACCTGCTTGATCTGAAGTGCGCTCTTTGTAACAGCCTTGACTTTGTCAAAAGGCGTCCGAGGTATTTTGATTCCTCACTCAAGGATATTAATTCTGCAGTCTTGTCTCCACCCAGAATCTCCCTGGTACCCTGTGAGCAGCACCAGGGCAAGCGGCGCTGGCAGACACTGGACCAGGCACCGGCTGTTTTAACTGCATTACCTCTCACTGCTCAAGACACATAAAAAAAATCACAATACTGAAAACACAATCTGCCATGGGAAATATGCCCCCTTAATGAGGTATATGAGGAAAATGCCTATTGCTGCAACTGTGTGCTAACACAGCTCATCTCACTCTGTTAGGCGTGAGCATGCAGAGAAGATCCCCTCCTTTTTATTTCATGCAAACAGTGGGAAGAAAATTTGTTGAAAGTTGAGAAAAGACCCTGTTATCTGAGATTCCTCTGAAAGGGACTGCATTCTGCCTCTCATTAGGGTAGTTCAATTCTAGAAGGAATCAAGTAGATGGTGAGTAGGTGCTGTGTTTCACAAAGACCTCAGTTCAGATTTCATTTAAACATACACTTCATCTTCAGTTCAGGGCTACTTAACATGGTGTACCTTGCCAAGCCTGTTGAACGTGTTTAAGGAATTGCAGGAAGGGCTGACCACAGCTGCCAAGGACCTGGCCAAGCAGCCAGATCAATGAACTGAGAAAGGGAGAACTCCATCACAATAGAAACTGCAGGAACTCCTATTATGACCCTACAGGCCCATCTTGCCCTTTCAAGTTAATGACTTGAGTAGTTTTCTAGAACACTTGGCTTTAGGTACTGGCCTAGGCTGACATGTGCGAGTAAGACTAAATGGATAGCATCTTTTTACTGTGTAGTCAGGGCTTTTCCATTCAATGGATAGTGTGAAGGTAGCTGTAGATACAGCAGGACATGTACCAGCACCAGTACATAGGTACGCCTGCATTGTACACTGACTGTTCTGCTGTTTTGAAATTTACACAGGAAAAGATGAGAGTGGAGTTTGAAAGATGGAGTTTGACTTGGTAAAGACAAGTTCCATGAAGAGCTAAGTGCTAGTGCACATTAAGTACTTACCATAATGCAGTTGTTTAATTTAAATGAATTTAATGTAAATTAATTTAGAGGTGTGCTCTACCCTTGCTGCACTGAGTAGATCTTTTGCTGTTGGAACTGAAAAAAACCTTATGATAACAACACTGATATTTTGAAGATTCAGCCTGAATCTGCAACAATCATCACTCAGATTTCCAAAAGTTGCTTCTAAGATGAAGCAGAAACTTCTCAGGTTATTTGAAAGAAAGGCTGATGTGCAATAGAGCAGGTACAGATAGTCATAACAGGAAGGTAAAAGAAGCCAGATGCAAGGCTAGTAGGCAAACCAAAAGGTAAGACTATATTTTTCATGTGAGCCTACAGAGGCTAGTTTAGCAGTTTACGCCAAATAGCTCACTGCACCTCTAAAAATTTGCTTTAATCTAAAAAAGTAATCTGAAAGATCCCTGGACTGTAGTCAACTTAATATCACACTTATCTGCTTCTTCAAAGCATTCTATTTGGCTCAGCTTATCAGCAGAAGCATAACTAGTAGTGGTTATTTCAACCTTGAGGTAACTGGATGCCCCACTACCCCACCCACTAAGCAAATACATTTACTTTGATGTCCCTTTAATATGTCACAGAAGAGAAAAATAAAGTCCTTATATTTAGTTATGTAAAAAAGATGATTCTAAAGATTAATATTTTCAAATGAATACTAAGTAGAAAAACAGTATTCATAGTTCATTCTTTCAGCTCCCTGTCGAAAAAGGCTATTTGAAATACAGCAGCTCTGATGACAGAGCTGACTTG